CCATGGCGGCAGCACGTTCCATCTCTGACGCGCATTGAGTCCACCAGATCTCGAGGTCTCTGCGTAAGCTTGCGTTGAGGTTACGACTCGTTATAAGTCGTATTTCGTTATGTACGCTGCCGGTTGGAATTGATCGGCGTGTGTCGAGAAGGCGAAGAGATTCCGCAGAAATCGAGGGTGTCGCTGCACGGCATGTCAGACCACAACTAAGCCAGCAGAATGTATAGCATTCTTGATAAGCGACCAGTGCTGGTGAACGTCACCGGGTGGGGTTGGTCCTAGCTTTTCAGCTAGCGCGTTCTGAAAGACAGTTAGGCGTGCTGGTTGAGACAACTTATCACAGTCTAACCGTCGTTGTGTAGTACGTTCGGAACGCCCACCGAAACACATGAACAGCCTGGCGAAAACTGACACGTGGTCGGATTCGAGGGGAGTGCTCCAGTACGATCGTCAGTCTTGTATACAACCCCGCCATTTGTGGCTTAAGGCGATGTGGTCGATCTGTATCCGTCTCTGACTCGAGGAGGGCGGACGCCAGGTAGCGTACCGGCAGTTGGAGCGCCCGAAGTTCGTACTGGCGAGGAACAAGCGGTGATCAAAACAGAGAGCCAACGGCAGTTCATACACATAAATAAGGGTGGTATGACTAATTTCAAAGTTTTCGTGGTATGAGAATTGTTAAGAACTTTGCACCTCGGAGTGTGACGCCTGAATAGTCCGTAAAAGCAAGAAACTGAATTAAGTCATCGGATAGACATTCTATGTCATGGCCAGATGTTGGAACACAGACGCTTATTTTCCCCGAGGCAGGTGATATTAGCCGCTTGAGGCCTGGAGTTTGTGAGGATGCAAGTGCTCTGTTATGCTCCACTTATTTCTTACACATTTCTCCCCCTCCCCCCGCATATGGTAGACAATCAATCTTCCCTGGGTCCAAATTACGCAAATGAGCAGAACCCTTATCTAACCGACTCTGAAACGCATTTTCGTCCATCGATCATTATTTTTGGATTTATCCAAAAGAACCATTCTCCTTTTTGGCAAATTATTCCCGGCATTCTCCCATCATCATCAATAACCTATCGCCGTTTCAATCTCAATGATTCAGTAATCTCTCAGTTAGTAAAACCTTTCCTTATTCATCCAATGTAAACCTGCCAATATTCGTCTATGATCTCCTTTGTATGACGTTTAAAAATATTTACACTGCTTAGTCACCGGATTTATACGGAGATTGATTTTATTCGACTAGCATTCCTTATTTTATACACAAGGATCAAAGGGAAACAGTATTTTCGAAAGGTTGTCACATCAAATTGTTTGCACTTAGCTGTAGGATACATGGAGCGAGACAACAAATAAAAGCCTAAGTTACAAGATGATAAGTTTACTATTATTTAACAGACGTACGGATATCCTAACCGTAGAAATGCCATATTCTTATTAACTGAGTACAGGTAGGTAGGTAAATAGATACATACAGATTAGATTAGATAGACAGATAAAAAATGAGATAGGGGAGACAAGAAAAACTTTAATTAAAGACCAGGAGGCATCAATGACTATGAATGCTCATTTACCTGGTGGCATAAATAATGGCTTATGGTCCAACCATTCTTTCGAAGTACTCTGATTTGGCAGGCAAAAATAAAATCAAAACAAATTCGGCCCAAATGAATGAGGGATAAAAGCACAGAAAGCTAATGTGAAGTGAGCTGATTTAAAGGACCCAAAAAGGTAGTGGGAAGCATTGCTTGATAACTCATCCCACAAAAGCTACATCGATGTACCCACACTGAAGCGAGTGTACTGATCAACAACTAAAGTCACTCCGGGCTTTGATGAGGCTATTTGTCAGTTAATCAATGCCAGTGATGAGATAGATCATTTACAGTCAACAGCGAGTCAGAAACAGCCGTCACCCAAAATGTATCACTTTGCTACTTCCGATTGAACTGACAACCAAAATGTCTGCAAGTATCTTATCGGAGCATTGACATGCAGGCAGGCAATGCGCAACAAAGAAATGTAACATAATATGCCTTCATCGGGTAGGGGCCAAAAATATACTGTCATTCAGCCCGCTGAGGATGGTTCTCTCTCTTCACAAGTGTTTGTGTGTCTGTGCATAGGTACGCGTTTAGTATGTTGCAAAACGTGTGGCGATTTGGTCTGGTTCGCAAGAAGGGGAACCCGGTCCATAACACCGTTCGTTTAGCTGCCCGACGTCCAAGTAAAAACCGGTCAGGAATTTGAGAAACCCAATTCACACATCGTTTTTGAAGAATACACTACTGCATAGTTGTATGTGCTTTAAAACAGCCCGAAAAGGCAACATGGCGTCTTCGCAAACTGAATTTCGCGAAGGTTGACTATAAGCAATTAGGTAATCCGCAGTTCACTGACATTTCGCGGATAGCTGTCCACAGTTGCGTTAGAGATACGAGAGAAGGCACTCGTAAGCGGATTCCATTTTGTTTTTCTGTTTCACAACTTTCTTATGCAACGTTCAAAAAGGCCCATTTCCTCAGAGATGTCCTGGTAATTCTTGCGTCAGAAGACATCCATAAAGCATAAAACACAAACCTAACGTTATGTGCTAGGAGCTCTCAGATGGATGTATGCTTGCTTTTCCAACGCCGGATCCAGGCCCAATGACTTGTGCACTAGTTAAGTGAGTCTGCGGACCTCAATACCACAAAACACAACCCCACGGCGAAAACACATCTCTATTGCTATAACCGGGCTGGCAAGCCACGGACAGATAGCTAGAGTTAGTAAATCCTGATGCCAAGCGATCCATGATGAGGTGAACGAACTGCGATCGAGAACGGTGAATTCAAAGCCATCGGATCAGTTGAACAATGGAGTACAGAGTAATCGGGATGTATGAGGCCCGTCCAAATGACGTGTATCACGATGGACTGGACATTGACCCGAACCGACTCAAAAAACCACTCTGCTCCCTTGAGATCCTTAGAGCCAAACACTTACCCTGACTTGGTGACTGAGTAGTGCAATAACCCACAGCACAGAGAAAATGGAAACAAAAACGAGCATTAAGTTACTTCTCTCCCAACTGATGATTTTAGTAGTTTCTTTTTTCAAACCACGTCTGTTTGCGAAACTCGGATAACTGAACCAAACCATTTGAAAGTGGAGTTAGGAAACCGATTAAGAAAAGTTCATCGTCTCGTATTCTCGGATGAATTGTGAATTAGGGTGAACTTAATTAAATTCTTTTCACGTTTCAGCATTTCACTTTCGACACAGTAACAAGTATGCCGTCAAAGAATCTACTGTACGTTGAAGTTTTTCAAACGATGGCATCCAGTCTAGTTCCAATTATACTTACGGAAATGTCATCTAGAATAGAACCTTAAGGGTTATCCATAGCGACCCCATCAACTTGTCTGAATGTTTCCCTTGGAAACGAAAACGAGTATTTTCAGCGTACAATAAAATAAAGGATTCAAAAATTTTGCTGATAAGGAAATCCGAATGATATTGTGTGGAACAAAATTACAAGGGAAATTTACATTTTCGTGTAAAGGAACGTTGGTAAATAGGGATACCACATTAAAACAGACCATGGTTTCGTAAGAAAAATTAAAGCACCAATAAAAACGAAGAATTAGGGGAATTCAAAGAAGTTCACTTAGAATTACGATTCGTTGGGGAACTGGAAGCAAAAGCTCATTGGTTTTCCTCAGATTTCGTGTTATTTCGGTTTCCGGGCGGTTCGTTTTCGTGATCTGTGTTTCACAAGCAAACGTGGTTTGGACAGGACTGGCATTTCAAGATTTTCTCATCTATTGAACACAAAAGTTTCCCGTTTTCTTTGGGGTGGGCATCTTATCGGTGTTGGGAAGGCGATTAGTGAACAACACTAGGGATAATATAGGTACAATAAGTTTAGTGCGTTGGTCAAATTGAACGGTAGCTCCTGGTAACGGTCGTAACATTTTTCGGCTGACTGACACCACTGGTGTGACGGAGTGCAACGGTTCACCGAACAGATTCAGAAACACTCGGAGGGGAATTTCGTGCATGACTTAGTTAACCATCATCAATAATTAATATACCCCGTACAGAGAATAAGTGAATGTTACTCGAAAGATGAGCTATTCTGAACGGTGAAACATATCCAGACTAGGTGGACAACCTCTATTCATTCTTAGCGGTTATGGTTGGAACTGAAGAACAAACAATTAGTGAGTACTAGTCTCCGGTTCCAACAAAGTAATAGTTCTGAAGGGACTGAACACTGAGGCGCGGTAACGATCCGGTGCACCAACAGTTGGTTTTGAGGAAAAACAAATCATAATCCGGGATTTTCGGCTCATGTACGGTTAGAAAACATACTGGAACCCCATCTAATGGACATATTCTTTACCGGAGCTAAACGTAAGTCGTGATTCTATACAGAATCGGGAAAAAACGTGGCAATGCTAAACAGGCTATATGATTCATCGCGCAATGAGAATGGGGTGAGCAAATTGCATCTCTGAATGTAGTACGAGAGGGAGTACCAAACAGATGAATCGACACAATCAGTTCTCTACGCTATACTCTTGAAGATGCTCACTCAACTCTGGTTTCTATTGCGTAGTTTATTAAAGCACGACGATGATAAATGATGAGAACCGGAATAAGGGTGCTACACAGTAGGGTTGGACGACAACCTGAAGTGGTAGGAAAACGCATCAAACCAAGCGAGCGTGTGAGAACGTCCTAGATGGATCACCTAAACCACTCACGAGTGCACATGCTTTGTAAACAAAATTATAGGGGCGGAAAATTTCTATCCACTTTCGCAGTACATCATCGTTCGAGCAGTTCTGATGATAGGCAGTCGCCCGGAAAATGATCTGTTGTACAACGGATCATGATGTCTTCACACAAGAATGAGGGGAGCGAACTTCAGGGATCAAAGAATGAGAGCACTTCACTTTCTCGACAAGGCCAGACAGAGTCATGTAGGAAATCCCATGCAAATAAATCTTCTCCAGGTATATAATTAAAAAAACTGCACCGCCGCGTATTTACCTTTCCTCATGAGAAATCATCATCAAATATTACAGTGTCTGTTTCACATTAGCCATCCTTTGTTAATCCAATTCCTATTCCAACAAAACACACTCCAGATGAGGCGTAGATGATTCATCAACCAATAACACAAGCACTGATGATTTCGCCTCTGCTGGTGATGAAACGTTTGCAAACAAATTGCCAAGCACGGCGAAATGGAATTCAGTTCACCCGAGCTACAAGAACCAATTTTGAATATTTTGTCAACAGTAACACAATCAATTTGTTCTTTGTTTTCTGTCTACCGTTCACCCGCCATTGTGTTCTGTTTGTGCGCTTTAATCCTCGGTTAACAAAAGTGCCAGTCATGGGGCAGTCGAAGACAAAGGCGGTGGGTACCATAGTCTGGTGTAGGGTAGATAGTAGCATGGGGTAGAGGTAAGCGCATCAGTGGGACTTGTGGTATGTTAATTAACGTGATGTGTGTTGGTTTTGTCCTCGCAATGCCAATCCTCCTGCACTCCCCCACCCCTTTTCCGTCCCGTACTGCAATGCTGTTCAGGTTTCCGAGGGAGAGGAGATTTTGAAAACAATATTCCACTATTATTTTCCAATTTAACGCAAAGAACGATATTTTACAAACAGTGTCCATGAGTGCAACGCATGGTGGATGCGTTAAAGTACAAAAGTCCTTCATGCCGTGCTTTAAAACCATATAGAAAGGAAGACATTTGACGATGGAGTATCAGATGTACAATTCTGCATACAGGGGTAGATATGGTGGTCATTCATAGCCAAATACTTCTAGAAACGAAACGGTAATTAGCAAGTCTGGAAGTCAGTGGAATTGCACGGAGAATCATGCGATAGTAGTTCATCATCGTAACTAAAATTTGTGGGAAACTGGAAGCAACTGATGAATAAATGATTTGTCCCATTCGAATAAATCAACATTTATTGGTGGGTTGGTCGGAAAGCAAATAAGCAGCAATGGTGATCCAGTGATACAGATCTCCGCGAGCTCGGCCCGGAGGTTGTGGGTTTGAATCCCATTACCATCACTGCGATCTACTTTTTACAAGTTTGTTTTCCTTGTAACCCTCTAACTGGTTGCTTTTTCGTCCAGACAACCAACTGTGTAATCGGCTACTTAAAATCAAATAACAAAACATAATAGTCACGATAAAACATCAAATACGTGAACATTACTTACTTTTCGAGGCAGCGATGGGATACGGGACGCTCCGTCTTCCGGGGTCACGGAAAAACTTCCACTAACTACGGATATCTTGCGCCGTTCGGATTGATGAAAAATTTCACAAAATCGTTTGAAAATACTGGAAAATTCATCCAATCTCGAACTCAATCCGTCCCCGTGGAACTGGTAAGTACATCCATTTGAGACACTGTTTGCTGCTTCTGCGCACGAGAGCACCGAGAGGTTGGCACAATAGTCCAGAAGAACCTCCTTGGCGGTGGATCGGTTGAGCAAGAAATCGACCGCATGCACCTGAAACAAAGTGTATGAATTCAGAATCAGAATGCGTGCGTGCTATCGACGAATGCAATCCAGGACATTACGTGTGCGTGTTTCGGCAACTTTTCAGACGACAAATAGCTCGCATTCTTCTCCGTTTAACAGCGAACTCTATGGAACAGCACAGTTTTGCCTGATCACGCAAGATAACCCTATTTTTCCTGTGTGGATATGGAAAGAACACGATCTAAGTGCAATACCCCCTACGGCTCGATACAGAATAGTGAAACAGAACACAATAAAACAGTAGAGAAAACAAAAAACCCGTGACACCGTTAGGAACATGAAAGGTCAGGATTTTGAGATAACCATGATTCAGTTCAGTTTGTACAACCATTAACCATGCACTTTCCTGCACCGGTTTTGGCTGTCCATCTGGATGAATCAGTAGGAGAAAGACCATATTAATGAGAAAACTATTCCTTTGACAGAGAAGATGTAAATGGGCAATCAAAAGGTTATGTTCCATGAAACTGAGATCANCTGAGATCAATTTATTCTCGTCTGTTCGTCGAATAAAGAAAGTTGGTGACATCTCCAGAGAACGTGTCTAAAAAAAACAAGTTGGGATAAATTCGACGCTCTTTAAAAAACACAGGGTCACCTACACATGGAGCCACGTTTGTTTGAGAGATGTTTAACTGGACACTGGACATGAAATTTGTTTTGTATTGGTGGTATACTGGAACGATAGTTGATGTGAAGTAAACCTTTAAGGGTAAATCAGGATAGCACAAATAGCTGACAAATTGGATCGAAGCACCTGCCTGGACAGTTGCGTGATCAATAGCGGCGGCACAATAAAACTAACCACATACAAATCCAAAGAACAGGCGGTGTATGCTGGACTAAAACAAACTGGACATGAACTTGATGTTTTCTTGACGTTAAAAAGTAGTGTGTACCACGCCACTGTGCGGTCAGTTCGGTTTTACAGTTTTAAGGCCTCGAATTTGCATGTCAAATACACCGGACGAAGGAAGGTTTCCAACCATCGATGTTCGCGTGGTTTAGCACAGGAAGGACGTAGCGAGTGTGTCAATTACACCGAGGAAAGCTGTTTCACCATTCAGAATTTTACGGCAAAAGTTATCAGTTCCACTCATCACACCACAGAACATTGAAAGCGTGCAACTGCACAATCAGCACACAAAATACACATCACAATTCCATTTTGCTTTATTGCATCATTTCGGTTAGCTCAGTGGAGAGGATGTCTTTCTGAAGATCAGTGAGTCAATGCACGGTTGCCGGTAATTTCCGAAAAGTCCATCCACCGTTCACTAGATATGGATGTATTCCAGGGGTATATGCATCCCTGTTGGTCATTGGATCAGACAGCAGATTTCGTCCGTGTTCACCGAGGCTTTCGGGCCCCCATTACCCTGGGGTTGGCCCATCTGCCAAGAGGTTTATTGGGGTGCAGCAGTTGATACCCTAGACCCCTGGAGCCACAGAGTTAAGTAAATGGCCGAGGCTAAAAAAGTGAAATATGCTCCAAGAGACACGATTCTCTGGTCGATGGGGTCGCACCAACCATACCTCTTCTCAAGTAGCTTCCAGTTGGACTTTCCAATAAGATGCTTCGATCGAGGCTATTTGAATCTAATTTCTGTGCACACTGAATAAGAAAAGATGATTTGCAGGATCCCTACAAGGTTGGCAGGCAAAAACAGCAATTTTGAATGTGATCTAGGATAGATAAACACGCGAACCGGTTCACAAGACTTACTCGATCGGGAATTAATTGCGCCGCAGCCTTGTTGTCTAACTGGATAGTCCAAAGACAACCTGAGCGAGAGATAGAGCACAAAACGACAGCAATTAACAACCTGGTGATAGAATAATGGCAGTAGACGACTGCTATCTATCTCATCCTACGCAAGAATACAGATTCACAAAGAAACCAAACACCATCGCTCAGAAAGTAATTAATTGAATGTGAAAATCCTTAGATATTCTAAATGGCTAAATCCTCGGTGTCCGGAGTTGTCAGCAATGCATTTTTCTCGAACAGGAAAGTATAAAAACTGAGTGAGACTTGGAAACCTTAGCGGCATCATCAGTATACTTGATTAGAAGACCTTTCTGTACCGCTGGGTAAGTTATGAATATAAAAAGAAAACAGAAAAGGAAACTTCGACTGGAACGTGTGATGTTGTGAATATCACACATTGCCACTAGACTACCGATACCCGCTTCCCGGTTTGGGGACTCGGCCTATTCGACGGACAGGGACCTTGCAGAAACGAAAAAGATTGATTGAAACAACTACCCGCAATACATTTTTGTCCGACTAACATCTTACATCAATGCAATGTGAAGAAATTCTTATAACTTCAGAGTAGATTGGCTTATTATCATGACACCAACGTTAGCCATTCCCTGAACACACGTTTCCGTGAATCTTCGCACGTATTCAGAACTGGGCTGAGTCCAAATGTTTGCAAAACAGATCACATAGTAAATTCATTGTCTCGACACTGAAATCCATCCGTGATTTGTTTGCGGACGCAATACGGCGAAGGTGCCCAAGTCAAAACAGATGCTGTTTCCAAATGGAGCCTTCGGTTAACCACAGCTCGATCTTCAGAATTGCAGCACAATGTGCGGAGACAAGAACTTAGTGCGCTCTCATTGCTCGAACAGATGGATCCCGCACTCTTAAAAAACACCGTTGACATCACCAGGACGCATAATAAATTATGCAGCTGTCGGTACATAATTTAAACACGAACTAGAAATACAGGAAACAAGTCATTTCACACCGGTAGCTAATTTCTTCGTGAATCAGGTCAATTGGCAAGCTTGTGATTAACCGAGGGTGACGTCGTTTTAGATTACAATTTACCCAAATGCAATATAAAACAACAGAGAAGATAAAGCAAGTGCGCGAAAAACTCACCCAGATGTCCATCAATCACCGTACTGGGGAGATAAACTACCCAATTGGGGGAATCTGAATTGGGACTGTTGTCAAGGCTCAAAAACCGATGTATTGTTAACAGACTTGCATTTAGTAGAAGAAGAAATCAAAGTAGCATACATTTAGACGCCGCTGTGTAGGTTATTTTTTTATTACACACGCTTGTGCGGTGAACAGCAGGCGGGGTAAACCCCATAGTCACGAGGACCCTATATTTACTCGTGGAAATCGGCAACCTAAATCCTGTGACTTGGAGTGAAGAAAAACCTAGGCTAGGTGTTGTATTGAGCCGAACGAAAACGAAGCTGCCTACAACTGAAATTGTGGCATCGCACGGGAGTTTGTGTTTTAATGGCACTACAGTTACCTAAATTCCCCACTTCTTTGTGGTTTGTGGGAACGCTTGACCGTTTCTCCTTCCTGGAAAGCGATTGTCCAATCATTTACTTGGTAAGAAGAATAAAATATCATTGTTATTATTTGTCACATTTCTAAATGCTTGCTTATTATTTCTCAATTGATGATTTGTTCTCGACACTGATGTATTCAACGAAAGCTATCTAGTATATTGTTCCTGGATTGCAGAACAACACATTTGGACATGGATCGTCTGATAACTGAGTGATCAACAAACATGTACTTCTAGTTTATGTAAGTGTTCAGTTCGGTGAGCTTAACATTGTTACTTTTATAAATTTCGAAAGCAGTTTCAGTGATAAAATGTCTTATGTAACATCACTTATTTCAAAATGCCATTTTTAATTAGGTTCTGGACGCAGAATTACTAATGTGGATATTAATCTGGGAGGATAGGACGAAAGATTACCACTTGCACAACAGGTAGTGAGTTTGAACCCAAGGGCGCCACATAACTCCCATATTTTCCGGTTGGTACCTTATAAGCCCTTTGATTAGTCGCTGCCCTCTTCCTGATGACAGAGTTTTAAATAGTGTATTCAATATAATACATAATTATTTTATCATTATTATTAGAGATGCTTACATTTTTTTATGAATTTCAGCTAACACTTTGGATACAGATCCTGAACCTTGGCTTACTGTTTACAAGCAAGTTCTTCGAGTAGATCTTCGTAGCAAACAGCGGTTTTATTTTGAGTCGTTCATCGAAATGGACGGCTTAGTTGCCGGTGTACTGTCTATGAAGATTGTAATATCAATACAACGTCGGAAGTCATGCCGAATAGGTCAACGTTGCAAATATCCCCTCAGGTTAAGTGGATGAATTGTATCATCAACGCACAGCGTTTTTCACTTGATTTTGTTCCCGGTAGTTTTTAATGACTAAATTTTACTTTCTCATCCGGTGGGTCACAGAAGGAAAAATACTCAGGAATGGGCAGTCAGCTTATATATATATATTGTTTCGTGTGTTTATATGCATCTGTTGGGTGGACGGTTAACTAATTTGCTCGTGATATGAGTTCGGTTGGTAGAACGCACGCTTTGCGTGCCTTCTGTTTGAATCTCACATCAATTTACAACTGGAGGACATGGAAGTACTTACGGAGTGTAAAACATTACATGTATCATTTCGACTCAACAAAGTTTGGTGTTAGAAGAACAAAAGGCGTATGCTGCGTAGCACTTTGAAGCAAACTACGGAAGTAAGTTTTAACAATTGAAGCGGTGAGACAATAACTGAATTTAGGAACAGCGATTAAAAATGTTATCGAATGATCAGTAGTGTCTAACTACTCAGAACATTAGAATGGTAATTACATACACGCAGCCTTGTCAACTAATGACAGTATCACTTCTCTTATCGTTAACAGGACACCTCTAACCTAATTGTCTGGATTCTCGGAATAAGCTCAGGTCAATGGTGCTATTCAACTACTGCTTTCGAGTTGCGTTCCTTTTGTGATTGTTTTTCATTACTGGACGAAAAAGAACACCCACAACCCCGGGATGCTTTCAAAAACAGTGATTAACTAGCCATTTAGCAATAACATTGCTTCAAACATTGGTAGATTATAAAAAGAATACAAAATCGGTTTTCGCATACAGGTTGTGGTACCTGGTCAATAAAATTACCGTTGGGTGGTCGTACTGCTTCACAGAACGAGACTACCAAGATACTCTCGACATACATAAGGAAGATGTTTACAGCACGGCGATTCACATATTACTAGGACTAATTGATCGCGTTCGTGTTGATCAATAATTCACACATGCGATGGGGTGATGTAGGCATACCGCTGTTTATCGACAGAAAATAGACACAATGCTATCAGAGAACAGAACCATAGGGATGAGCAATGGATTGAGAAAGGTACCGAGTGAACAAGGGAACTTAAAACGAGATCTAAAACCACCACTAGACTCCTCGGAACCATCGCATGGAAGGCGGTTGTTACCGTTGTAAATACCAACTCACGCCAGGACAACACTGAGTTGTCAATTCATGTTTGTCCAGATGTCGTTCCTTTGGCAGACACCACGATAAGCAGACACAGTATACAAACTGCTAGCTCCAATCGGAAGCCTCCCACCAAGCCGGATCTGCCTTTTAACTGCGAGCGTACTATCCCAACTAAACCAACTAGGTCATAACTGAATTCACATTCAACTTACAGTTACTCGTGAGTTTCCCGAACCACTACTCACAAGTAACCGTAAGTTAAACGCGAATTATTTTCAGCTACTTTTGTTCCCATTGGGTTTGCTGTAAGATAAAAAATAATGATTTGGGGCAGAAGGGAACGTTAATAACGTGAACAAAAAATGACAATAGATCAAGAAACCAGTCAGTAAAAAACGGTTGGCATAAATGATACTGTGTAGGGAATGAGCTGACAACAGGTCCTAATGAAAAATATTAGATTAATTCACATTAACCTGAGGAGAGTTTAATTTAAGCTGAAAAGGATACAAAGTTCCACTGGAACGAGTGCCCCCAAGTTTGAAGACAATGCGGGTACAGCTTTCGGTTGGAATAACGGGGATGGAGAGAGCGGAATGGATTGATGTGGGTTAATATGCACTTGAAACCGTAGCGAAAAAGATAACCATTCATAACACGATACTTTTTGTAAATACTGCCAACAAGTTTTACCTACTTGAGAAATTGACAGTAGTATGAGTTTATAGCAGAAATACTGAACGTTATCAACAGCCTAGAAAAAAAGAAAATTGAAGTTGGATGTCTTGAATCTGTTGAAAGACAAGAGCATTGAACGATAAAGAAATGACGCAATACATATATAGTTACACAGGACGGGATATTGCAGTAAGAGTTGACAAAAACACGGTTAGTTGTGACAACGACTCATTGTCCGATCCAACAAACGTTACCGCGAGCATGAAGCACAAAAGCTGCCCTAGATTTGGAAGAGCCCAATTACGTTTCAGCTTAAAGCACAGATATGGTCAACGAATGATATAAGTAATAACCGGTAAATTGCGCTTGATGTCAGTTAACCTTGCAGTAGCGCAATACAATCGAGTCGCCTAGTACGGGTGTTGAATCAATGGTCGCAGTGGAAGAACATGAGATGCACTGACAATATTCATTTACAGACAGTTCGATTTTTATGCCGTCTGTTCTCACGCGCATTGATCTATGCACGCTTCAAAAATGAAATAAATGTATCCACCCAACACGAGTATACAAAAGAGTTGGGATAATATTATAGAAACCGGCAAATAAGAATCGATTTGAAAAATTTAGAATTACAAAGGAAGGTTATTTAGAGTATCAAGCTTGGATTAGCCCACTGGATTGCTCTGAGGCACCAGGCACTCTTGAAGGTCTCGGGTGTGGGTTTCACTCCTTAGGGGATGGTTAATTACCCCACAAGGTACAGTTAATCTCCTGCTATGTCGAAAAAGTGGTTAAATTCCA